TGGGGGGGGAGTGGCTCTGGTTCACAAAAGTAATCTACCTTTGACCAGGAAGCCTATCTGAAAAACAGTCCACATTGAGTGCATGTACCTGAGCCTGAGGACTAGGGATAGTTTAGGGATTCCACTAGCCAGCCAACCACGCCGTTGTCTAGCAGACTCCCTAACCGAGCTGACACAGCTGGTCCCAGAGTTGCTGTTGGAGTTACCCAGAGTTTTAGTTTTGGGCGACTTCAACATTCCACTTGAGACCAGCCTGTCATATCTAACTGGCACAGCTTGGAAGTTCATGGAATCCATGACTAACATGGGCCTATCCCAATTAGTCGTCAGGCCTGTCATTGTGCAGGTCATAGCCTCAATGCGGCCTTTAGTACGGAACAGGAATATCCATGGGCGGGGGTTGTTAAAACCTCCACTTTGTCATGGATGAATCATTTCCTGGTCAAGATGGAGCTAAGAGCCACTGTCTGCCCCACCAGGGGTGGTGGACCTGTTAGGATGGTCTGCCCTCGAAGGCTAATGGAACCAATTGGATTCCAGAAAGCTTTAGAGGGATTAATAGTTGGTAATGCCGGTGATTCTGTCAAAGTATGCTGATGACACACAGATATACTTCTCCATGACCTGGTCATCAGCTTTGACTTCAGATGGCGTCTCTCCTCTCAATGATTGTCTTACAGCAGTAATGGACTGGATGAGGAAAAATAGACTAAGACTGAATCCAGACAAAACGGAGGTACTAACAGTCACAGGCCCGAAACCAGTTTTGGGAATACAACTCCCAGTCCTAAATGGAGTCACACTCTCCTCTAAGGACTGTGTACGCAGTCTGGGGGTACTCCTAGATTCGTCGCTTCACATGACAAATCAGGTGAATGCGACGGTCAGGAGAGCTTGTTATCAGCTTCAACTGATACACCAGCTGCGCCCTTTCCTGGAAAGTAGAGATCTTGAAACTGTGGTACATGCTCTGGTAATCTCCTGTCTTGATTTCTGCAATGCGCTCTACATGGGGCTACCCTTGTGCTTGACTCAGAAACTTAAATTGGTTCAGAATATGGCAGCCAGGTTGGTCTCTGGAGCTTCCAGAAAAGAGCATATAACACCGGTGCTAAAAGCTCTCCACTGGCTGACTATTAGTTTCTGGGCACAGTACAAGATGTTAGTTATGACCTTTAAAGCCCTACATGGCTTCGGTCCAACTTATCTCCGGGACCGCCTCTCCCCATATGATCCCCGTGTGCACTTCATTCTGTTACAACCCATGAAAATCAGGTTGTCGGTAACCTCCCAGAGGGCCTTTTCTGCTGCCGCTCCCAGATTATGGAATGGCCTGCATCTCATTACCACCCTTGACAGCTTCAAAAAGGCAGTCAAGACGGATCTTTTCCGGCAGGCCTTTCCTGAATAGTTATCCTGGCCCCATGACTTCAGCTATTTTTCTCCCCCTTGATCCTGCCACCCAAGTGTACTGAATGGAATTCTGCTGCTGCGACTGTTGAGATATGTTATTGTATGTTAACTTGCATATTTTAATCCTCTTTGGTTTAATACTATTTTAAGGGGTGGGTGGGTTAGGGTATCGATACATATATGTAATTATGGAATTTTAAACTGTAAGCTGCCTCGAATGTGCCACAGAGGGGTGGGATAGAAATAACATTTTATTATTTTTATTATTATTATTATTATTAAGACATAGAACACAATTTAAAATGATCTCAAAAAGTGGCCAAAACTAAGCCTATCCCTGTTTGGAAGAATATTATCAATTCAGATTAATATCTTCCCCAAATTACTATGTCTGTTCCAAAATTTACCAATCATTGCTAACAATAAACCATTTATACAGTGGAACAAAGAATTATCCAAATTCATATGGCAAGAGGAAAAGCCCAGAATCAAAGTGAAAACTTTACAGGACAGAAAAAAAAGAGGTGGCTTAGGGCTACCTAACATAAAGATAATACAAAGTATTTAAAATAACAAGAAAATAAGAAGCTAAATGTACAGTTGTAGGTATATTTTCTGTATTGGTATTTTTATTTTTACTTCCTTTATTGATGGTTTTAGTTTTTGTCAGAAAATCAGTGTATTTAACTTTTATTAAGATAAATTCAACAAAAATAATGCAAAAAGAAAAGAAAAGAAAAGAGCATGTCCATTTTACATGGATTACCCCTCCCCATTAATACCACAGCAACTCTGTAAAGTATATTTGCTGAGAAATGATGGTAGTCTATGCTCAAATGGGTAGCCTTGTTAAATGTAAAAAAAAATGTTATGAAGGCTGAAACATAGTGGAAGAAAAATGCAATAATTAATCCACTTATCTGCATAATTAAAATGCAAATAGGGAAATTTGCCTTTAAATGACAATTTGTGTAATATGGAAATTATATATCCAGATTTGAATAATAAATGGAATATGGCACCACCACCACCCCTCTCTCTCTGCTTATACATGCGCATTTTATTGGTTGCTACTGTTGGTTTTAATTATTTATCTTATTTTAAATGGTTTTATGTTTTTAAATTGCTTTTCAAATTTTGTATGCTCTGAATCTTTAACTATGTTTATGATAGCCAGTGTGGCATAGTGGTTTCAGTGTTGGACTGCAACTCTGGATTCCAGGGTTTGATTCCCAGCTCAGCTATGAAATCCACTGGGTGACCTTGGGCAAGTCACATGCTCTCAGCCACAGGGGAAGGCAATGGCAAACCTCCTCTGAACAAATCATGCCAAGAAAACTCCATGATAGGTTCACCATAGGGTTTCCATAAGTCAGAAATGACTTGAAGGGAAACAAGAACAACTGCAAGCTGCCTTGAATCCCAAACTGGGAAAAAGGTGAGATATTAATAATAAATAAGCACAAAGTGTGTGATAATCTTTGTGCGATAAGGGCGGGAGTGATCCACTTCGCTCCCATCCTTTTGGGCTGTGTGATAATCTCCCATGATCTCCAACAGAAACAGAATGAACTTTTTGCCGAAATCTCCATTATTCAAGAACATGGTATTATAGGTAAGTACTTTAGATACAGTGTAAGACGAAGTAAGCTACTGCACTACAGTGGTTAATTTTATACCAGACGTGTGGATATCCACCTGTAATTTGTCCATGACAAGCTATTTTGGAGTGTTATTGGAAATACATTTTCTGACACAAAATCATAGAGTCTCAGTCTTCAGCTTCGACTTCAGATGGCCTCTCTCCTCTCAATGATTGCATTAAGGTAGTAATGACTGGATGAGGAAAAACAGATTGAGACTCAATCCAGACAAAACGGAGGTACTAACAGTTGCAGGCCCAAAACCAGGTTTGGGAACACAACTTACAGCCCTGGATGGAGTCACACTCTCCTCCAAGGACTGTGTTCGCAGTCTGGGGATGCTCCTAGATTTGTCACTCCAGATGTCAAATCAGGTAAATGTGATGGTCAGGAGTGCCTGCTATCAGCTTCAGCTGATACACCAGTTGCACCCTTTCCTGGAAACTAAAGATCTTGAAACTTTGGTACACGCACTGGTAACCTCTCATCTTGATTTCTATAATGAGCTCTACATGGGGCTACCCTTGTGCTTGACTTGGAAACTTCAATTAGTTCAAAAAAAAAAGCAGCCAGGTTGGTCTTTGGAACTTCCAGAAAAGACCACATCTGTGTTAAAATCTCTTCACTGGCTACCTATTAGTTTCTGAGCACAGTACATAGTGTTAGTTATGACCTTTAAAGCCCTACATGGCTTGGGCCCAACCTATCTCTGGGACCGCCTCTTTCTGTGTGATCCACCCCGTGCACTCTGGTACTCTAGGAGGAATCTACTACAATCTATGAAAATGAGGCTGTTGGTGATCTCCCAGAGGGCCTTCTCTGCCACTGCTCCCAGATTATGGAATGGCCTGCTGGATGAGATCCGTCTTATTACCGCCTTAGACAGCTTCAAAAAGGCTGTCAAGATGGATCTCTTCTGGCAGGCCTTTCCAGAATAACTATCCCGGCCCAAAGAGTCAGCTAATCTTTCTCCCTTCCATGCTGCTGATTGCTCTGTAGTGTTGTGATCCTGTGTTCTATAACTGAATTACCCTAATTTTTTAAGCTGCCTTAGTTTAATATTTTTTAAGGGGTAGGCAGGGTTTTGGGGATTGGATGTATTTTATTGATGTCTAATTGTTGTAAGCCACCCTGATTGCACTGCAGATGGGCAGGATAAAAATAAGTATTATTATTATTATTATTATTATTATTATTATTATTATTATTATTATTATAAAAGAGACCTCAAGTGTCATCAGGTCCAACCCTGATATATAGGAACACACAAAGTATATAGCCTCTGTTAAATACCTCCAAAGAAGGAGACTCCATCACTCTGCAAGGCAGCGTATTCCACTGTGTGGAATTGTGTACAAAAATGTTTGGTACCCAATGAATCTTATGTGTTTACCAAAACTGAAGCAGCAGGTTTGTCAGCTAAATCAGTCCCTATACCTGTTTGAAATGTCTCTGTAGCCATCCTGCCAACCATCCCTCCTCCCCACACTCCCAACATGCTGACATGCATATCAGTCACACTGCATTTTACTGGGCATGTAGCACTGCTGAAATGGAACCATCTGGGCATGTATGTCACATCTGACATGTGTACATTCCTTTCACATTGACATATCAATTTATGCTACCAGCAGAAAGTATGGCACATACATAATCCTGCTTCCCTATCAAATGGAACAGGGAAAAGAGTATGAGCTCGCAATGTGACCCTCTTCTGATTCCAAACATCCGGAACATCCAAATTTCTTGCCAATGCAAATGAAACAGGATTCATATGAAGCCCTTCTGAATAGAGCTTTGTTCCACTAGAACAGTCTAGATATTTCCAGTTGGCATTCTTCTCTGTGAATCCCTACTAAGCAGGGGTTAGAACCAATAAAATGAAATTGTTTTATTTATTGAAAAATATTTGTTTGTCTCTTGCCAGCCCACAAGGGCCCCTAAGATAATGCACAGCAGATGCCATCTAGGCCTCCTCATTACTGGTGATACCATCATGACTGATTTTGTGGTGGGACTGGCCTCTGATGGAATTCATGATTTAATTTTCAAAAGAGGAGTCTAACTGTTGGACCATCCTGAAAACAGTTTTGAGAATTGATCTTCTTGAGTATTGTTGATAGGAGAGGGGAGTGGCATGGGTGTGTCTTATCACTGATTTGTAGGGGGGAAATTTATGCTGCACCCTCCTTGTGCATTTTTATATTAATCTCATTCAATTTCTTTCAATTGGTGTGTGGCTGGAAAAAGGGTTTTTAACTCATGCACTTGTTTCCTCCTCTACCAAGCTCAGAACAGAACCTGGGAAAGGAATGAAATAATGAATGGGATTTTTAATCTTTATTTAGGTAAGATTTTTAGCATGCTGATGTAATGTAAATGTAAATACCAACTGAGAATTAAATGGAATAAATGTCTCCCTTTCAATATAATGAATGTAAAGGTGTTTTTTGCTTTTTAGTGTAAACATAACACTAATAGCAGTTTTTAAAACCAAGTTTCCTAGTTCTGTACCAAATTAGTGCTTGTAAAAGAAGGAGAGAGGGGGGTGAGGTGGGGGTGAAATGACAATATTTCATGTGTAGTAGGCCATGCCAAAGAGGAGGATAATGCAAATGTATTCTTGGGTGTTCTGGCACAATGGCTGATTTTTAAAAGTTAATGTGACCGCCAAAAATTTAAAAAAAAATGAAGGTTTTGCCCTCCTCTGTAGTCTATTGACAGACAGTATTGTGCTGACAGGAGACTGTGTGGTCCAATTATTACTTAAGAAGACCTCAGGCAATGTCATGTCTGAACTCGAATGAAGACAAAATGTGTACTCTACTGAACAAGCCATCCACCCAATTCATGGAAGACAACCATCCCCCTTGACAAATATTTGGGCTTCAAAGCTTTCTATGTGCTAAATATATCCTGTTGCGGTGCCTTTGCCTGAGGGTGGTACTCATAGAATCTGCTTCATTTTCTTTTGGTTTGTGATTTATACAAGCTAGGTATGAAATTGTGTCCCAAAAATGTGGCTACTTGCACAAGTGACTTGCCCTATTACTTAATATGAGTGGAAAAAACTGAATAGCACACTTATCCAAATAATATTCAGTTGCAAGCAAAATCTTCAGCTTCCTGAGCCAGCTGAGACTAGGAATGTGTGAGAAATTCACCCAGTGAAGGTTTTGTTTTTATTAAAGAGATTAACCCCATCCACACCAACATAATGAACATGGAAACTGACACAATTTAAAGCCAGTAATCTGTACATTTCTGGGCTTGCTGGTCATGAAGCTGTTAGAACTAGCAACTACTGTATTGTTTGCCTGTACTCACTAACTGCTAGTTTGCCTGCTTGCAGACTTTCCGTTGGTTTGTCTTTCCACACTAGAACCTGAAGTCATTTTCTCTTCATTTTCTTCCTCTCCCACATTAGGCCATGAATTTGATAAAACATAAATAATTAGTAAGTAAAGCTATTTTTATATGTTTTTACAAAGAAGACTGGATTTATTTCTTTCCCTACTGGACCCTGGTTAGGTGGGTATGTGACTTGTAGCTGCCTAGTTTCTGCTTCAGGTAATGTCATCAAAAAAAATAATGTTCCCAATTCTATTCCATACATCAGGGATAAGGAACCTCTATCCCAGAAGAACTCCATATTCAGATGATTAATTCAGCCCTGCACTTCTCCCTGTAATGAGGTTTACTAAAAAAAAAAAAAAATCTCCATTGGTGATAGCCTCTTTGCAGCATAGGAAAGAATGGGGGCCATTTCTGTGAAAGGTTTACCCTTTCTCTCCTCACTGTTGCAAATTTCATCCCCTTCTCCTGCAGAAATTGGGCTTCTTAAAAGCCCTGCCAACTTCAGGATATGGCCAGCTGCTAGAATGTGGCCCTCAATGTGCTGGCCAGGAATAAATTCAACCCTCAGGACAAAAAACGTTGCCTACTCTCCTGCAGACTCACAGTGCAAGGATGAGTCTTGGCAGGGTGGGGTGTTTAAGACATTGCAGAAGTAGAAAGAGAATGCCAACCTCATACACACACACACACGTGTGTGTGTGCAAAGCAGACCTACACCTGCATATGTCTCACTGGGATGATGCTGAGCACCAGCTGTATTTTACCTCTAGGACAGCAGTAGACAGCTCTCAAGGATTAGGGACTGATTGGTCCTCTATGGGACTGTAGAGCCCAACATCTCTGCTGCAGCAACTGAAAAGAAAAAAAAATTGTCCTCCCCATACCCTATTGATGTGATCTTTTGGTACATTTTGGGCCCTTTGGGGCCATTTTATTTTTTACAACAAGAAGTAATGCAGAAATTAAATTCTGGATAACTTTCTGTTGGAAACAAAATGTCTCTTAAGCCTAAAATGGTTGGGAACATTCCAAAATTGTCTCCCATGCTCCCTGGAAGACATTTGGGGGCAGTTTGGGGTAATACTGGTGGGGGAGGCTGGGCTCTACTTTCCTCACCCCCACTCCTGGATTTCTATCACCAAGTAAGTCAATTCTTTGAAAATTTCCAGTTGTTCTCAGTCAAAAAGAAAGAAGACCCTGGAACAGCCTGGCTTCCTTCATTTTGGAAAGAAAAGGAAAGAACA